CTGTCATCTTGGCTGGAGTGCACTGACGCGATCTTGGCTCACTGCAATCTCCGCCTCCCGGGTTGAAGCTGTTCTACTTCAGCCTCCTGAGTAGCTGGGACTACAGGTGTGCACCACCACACCCAGCTAATTTTTATATTTTTAGTAGAAATGGGGTTTCGCCATGTTGGCCAGGATGATCTCCATCTCCTGACCTCATTATCCTCCCGCCTCAGCCTCCCAAAGTACTGGCATTACAGGCATGAGCCACCACGCCCAGTCAAACTTAGTGACTTTAAACAACACACATTAATGACCTTGCAGTTTCTGTGGGTCAGGCTTAGCTGGGTCCTCTGCTTCAGGGACCCATAGAGCTGCAATGAAGGTGTTGGTCAGGGCTGTGGTCTCATCTGGGGCTTGTTGGGGAAGGATCCACTGCTTAGCTCACATGGTTATTGGGCAACGTTCAGTTCCTTACAGATGACTAGACAAAGGGCCTCAGTTCTTGCCATCTGTTGGCTGGAGGTTGCCCTCAGTTCCTTGCCATGTAGGCATTCCAACGTGGCTGCTTGCTTCCCCAAAGTCAGCAGGGGAGAGCGCTTTTCCAGCAGCACAGATGTTATTATCTCCTTTAATGTAATCACATAGATGACCCTTTGTCACCTTTGCTGTATTCTGTTGGGTGAGAGCAAGACACAGGTCCTGTCCACTCTCAGGGAAGGATATTAAAAATGACAATTACCAGAAGACAGGGATCATGGGGCCTGCTTCAGTGTCTATCACAGCCATGAAGTAAAGGTTCAGGAAACAGAAGAGTTCTAATTGTTCAAATAAAAATCTTAATGGAAGGGCTGAATTTTTTAAAATGAAAAGGGCTGAAACAAGATAGATAAAAGGAAGAATAAGCTGTGAAATTATTTTACAATCTTCAGCAGACAGAGCTGGAGTGAGGAGTTTAGTAGTACGATAGATTCCAGGAAATTAATATCCATATAATGGGGAATCTATAGAAAGTAAAAAGGAGAGAGGGAGATTATAATCACATTATTAACAGATAATTTTTCTGAGTGAAATACATAATTCATATCAAAAGCATCTAATAAGTGTGTGGTGTTATGATATATATAGGTTTTTATCCAGGGTTCTTTGGCTCATAACTCCCACAGCCTTTATATAGTCTTTTTATGATGTTAGATGTGTTAGGCCTCCTTCCACCCTAATGTTCTTCCACCTTTCTGATTGTGGGTATTTATACTCTCATAAAACCCCAAGAGGACAGGGTTCAGCAAGCTTCCCAATAGCTGAGCATGTGGAGGTTCCTGGAGGGTGGTACGCCCAGGGAGGGCATGGAAGCTCCAAGCCCCTTCCCCCATACTCACCCTAGTGTTTCTTTATCTATATTTTTTCCAGTATAGAGCAATAAACTGGCGAACTAAGCAAGTGCTTCCCTGAGTTCTGTAAGGCGATTCTGCAAATTCATTGAACCCAAAGAAGGGGTCATGGGAAACTTAACTTGAAGCCGGTTGGTCGGAAGTTCTGAAGGCCCAGACTTGGCAACTGGTGTGGAGGAGGATTCTTGGGGACTGACCCCTCAGCCTGTGGCATCTGACACTATCTCTAGGTAAACAGTGTTGGAATTGAATTAGAGGACAAGCAGCTGGTGTCCGCTGATGGGTGTATGGGGGAAAAAAACCCAAATTTGATAACAGAAGTCTTCTGTGTTGATTGTTATGTGAGAGTAGAGGAAAAGTACAGTTAGAGGGAGTTTTCTTTCAACAGAGTGTTAAACAAGACTTGGGGATGGATTGAGACATATCTTGGTAAAGTCTCTGAGCCTGGGGAAAGAGCAAGAGAGCACAACCAAACAGGCAATCTGTAAAAGACTAAAGTGTCAAATAACATTAAATACTGCAAAGTAACAGGCACAGTGGCTCACACCTGTAATCCCAACGCTTTGGGAGGCTGAGGTGAGAGGATCACTAAAGACCAGGAGTTTGAGACCAGCCTGGGCAACAGTGAGACACCATCTCTACAAAAATAAATTAGCCAAGTGTGGTGGCATATGCCTGTAATCCCAGAGACTTGGGAGGCTGAGGTAAAGGAATCACTTGAGCCTAGGAGTTCAAGGCTGCAGTGAGTCATGATTGTACCACTGCACTTTAGCCTGGGTGACAGAGTGAGACGCTGTCTCTAAAAAGAATAATAATAATAGTAATAATAATAAAACATGCTTATGAAGTTCGGGGGGCAAATAATTTTGCGATTAGTTTTGTAGATCTAAGATGTCAAATGGGGGACTACAGTAAATTCTTATTTAAACACAATGGACCCCCAAATTATCGTTTGTATATTCTTTCTGGGGAAAAAAGGGAAAAAGAATGCCTTAGGCAAATGAAAAATGAATCAGGATAAAGAAGTCAGCAAAAGGAAAGCTATGGTATCAAGCTACCATGAGCAAAGGAACCAGCCAACCCTGTGACAAAGTCTAAATAATTTTTGACAATATAGTTGTACAGTTTAATACAACTGTTAAAATGAATTCCTGAAATAAAAACATAACATTAAAAATATCCAAAACTAAAATTCTAGAAGATTTCAACAAACAGGAATAAAATATAAGAAAAATAAAACAGCTGCTCATATTTTATTGTGTTATGTTTTGTTCGAGGGAGTTTGGCATATGTTCAGGTAAGTCTTGGTGTTGGGAGAAAGTATGTAGATTTAGGGTTAGGACCAGAGCATTGAGATTGAAAGGTGGGCCCCACGGCAGGCACAAGGTGAGGGATTTGAAGTGAAGCCTGTGCGGTGGGTTGGGGTGGGTCAAGCTCTAGCCTCATAACAGCAAGGACAGAAGGCAGGAGGTCAGGGGGTGAGGACATTGCAGGGAACCCTACTAAGCTATGTGCTTTATCCACTAATCTTCAAAAATTTTTTTTTATTTCAAAGTATTTTTTATATGGAATACTTCATGAATTTGCATGTCATCCTTGCTCAGAGGCCATGCTAATCTTCTCTGTCGTTCCAGTTTTAGTATATATTCTGCCAAAGTGAGCACATCCATTAAACTTTTAGAACAGTGAAAAAGCAAACAGTAAGATCACATTGTTTCCTAAAAGGATGACATTGTCAGGATATTTAGAAAACAGGAATAATACAGTACAAAACAAAGTAAATCCAGACTCAGAAATTCAGCCACTGCTCCCATTACTGGGCCCTATCACAAATTTGGAATATATGATAACTAAATTTAAAAAAAGGCAGCTACATTTTGCCTTAAAAAGACTTCAGTAGACATTTGTCTCATTAAAGAGAGGATACTCTCCTGTTTGCTGAAAAATCCTTTGGACTGAATTAAACTAAACAGACCTGGAACTGTCAAAAAGTGTTGTTCAGACAATTATTGGAGCACCAAGAAAATGATAACTAACACATTACCTCTGAGCAGAGTAGAATCTGGGGGTTGCACAGCACCTACTGTGCATGGCAGCTAAGAGCCCCACCGGGAGGTGCTACCCTTCCTACACTCTGTCACCGCTCGTGGAGAATGGTGTTCTTTGCAGTCATAATTTCATCAGTCATCTCTCGAGTGGATCCAAGGACATCTAGGAGACCTTTGCTGAACACATATATAATGAGAACCACATATGAAATTTTAAACCTTCTGGTAGCCACATTAAAATAGTAAAAGCAATCAGATAAAATTAATATCCTATTATCATTTCAACATGTAATCAATATAAGATTTATGAGATACTTTATATAATTTTTTCTGTATTGAATCTTTGAAATCTGTTGTACATTTTGCATTTAAAGCACATGTCAGTTCCAGCTCACCACAGTTCAAGTGCTCTGTCACATGAGACCAGAGGCCGCCATGTTGGACAGGGCAGATCTAGACCAGTACAGTATCTGTGACCATGTCTATAATTAAGGCTATTTCTCTTACAACTCCGTGCTGTATATCTGCAGGCAGGCTTTTGAACTGAAAAATAATTTAATTTTTATTCCTTTACCGTTTACGGTGAGAATCTGGTGCTTCACAGAAACAGACTGGCTTTTGCTCTTTAAGAGCCTCACATCCTATTACCCCAACATTGCCACATATTTGGATACATTGTTAGGCCTTTTGCTGCAGTCCAGGCTCATTCTGTTATCGAAAATCATGTGGTACAAATTATACCATAAAATTATTTTCAGAGGAAATTTTAAAAAGTAATATTTTATTAATAGTTATAAATAACTTAGAAGTACTACATATTGAGGAGCAAAAGAACATAAAGCTATATAAAAATGGAAATGATTGGAACAGTGCTTTTACTGATATATGTTTTTATTGAAAAAGTCCTTAAAGTTGTTGATACTGAAGTTTGGAACTCACAAAATAATGTGTATCTAACATTGCATTTTAATTTACTGTTTATGTTATGCCTGTTTAATACTTGAGGTAGATAGAGGACTTTGTTAAAGTTACTTCTTTCATTTAAATAAAAAGTATTCAATCAGTATTGCTAAAACATCTAACTAAACATGTACGTGAATATAAATAAATATGTATATATCTCATAAAGATCAAAACTTGTTTATATGTGTTTGTTTATGTCTAAAATGTAAGTAAAATAGAAAAACTGTTAGTAAAATAGAAATAGGACATAGATCAGAAATGGGATTTGAATTCCAAATCATAAGAGAAAAAAATAAAAACAAAGGAAACCCGATTAATTCACTGAAATCGAGAAAAAAATGTTTAAAGTTGAAGAGAAACTAATAAACACTTAATAAAGAGAAAATTTTAAATAAGATGTCAGGAAAAAGAGCAAACATTTCAGGATTCACAATAAATGCAAAAAACTCCTTGATTAATAAGCCAAAGCCTCTTAGATTAGGTAAAAAGGCAACGTTTAATTACATTATCTTTATAAAATGAAATAGAAATATTGAAAATGAATAGAAATATAAACAGCAAAGTGCCAACAAAGATCAGGAACAGGGCTTTTAATACCAGAAAAAGGAGGAATCAAGGTAAAAAGCAATAAAGTAGACAGAGAAAAATATTTTATGCTGGTAAGAAGTTACTGCCTTTACATCTGTCATAAACCTTTACACATTGAACTAAAAGCATCTCAACATAAATTTAAAGAAAATACCAGTCACAGACATTTACACATTCAGTTAAAAGCCTAAAAATATAAATTTAAAATTTAGAAATTATTATAATACTAACATAACATCTGGAAATAGTGAACTGTCCAGCGTTGGCAAAAGAATAAGATGTTGCGGAGCGTAGGTAAACCCAGCCTTTTTGGATAGGAATCTGGCAATATCTGCCAAAAATGATTCCACTTCTAGGAATCTATACTACATACATAAGTTCACTGAGACACTTCAGTGTGTAAAAAAAACAGATGGCTTAAATATCCATCAGTGAAAGATAGCTGAATCTGTTCTATGGCCTGTGCAGTGGATTTTAAAAATCAAGTCAATGTATGTGCACTGATAGGGAAAGAGCTCCAAGTTCTATGTTCAGTGAAAAAAGCAAGCTGCACATAGTTCATGTACTTAATATACACAAGTAAAGGAATGGGAAAAGCTCCAGAAGGGCATACAATAACAGTTAAAAAGTGTTTACCTCGGCCGGGCGCGGTGGCTCAAGCCTGTAATCCCAGCACTTTGGGAGGCCGAGGCGGGTGGATCACGAGGTCAAGAGATCGAGACCATCCTGGTCAACACGGT